GGGGGAAAATGACATGGATATGAAAATGTGAAGAGTCTGGGTAATAACAACTCACTGTTGTGACTGAGCTCAGGGTGCTAAGTATGTTACAATGAGAGATGAATCTAGAAAGGCATAAAAAAGTCTTCCTTTTTCTAGCCCTGAATTTGATTAATCATGTAACAGCTACTAGTATTTATATAGCACTTGAGAGTTTAAAAAGTGATGACCACACATCCCTTATTTGATCATCACCGCAGACTTTACAGATAGAAAATGGAGAGTCACTTATTCAGGATCACACACCAAGCTTGCAGTAATACTATGATGTGAACTTCAAATCTTTCAAATTTCATTCATCAGCTCTATTATTTCCCAATCCAGAATCAAGATCTTCACACAATTAGTAAGCAATTTGCACACATACTGCATATTAACTTCATTTGTAGCATAATTAACAGACCTGGGCTGTGGCTTTTTTCACATTGTCAATCTTGAAATAGAAAGTTCCATTATTTTCTGCGTTCAGCTTTTTGATGGAAAGATTCAGAACCTCTTTCAATTCTGGGCTGTCAACAGAGATCTCTTTGGGACAGCCTTTACACGTCACGGGAGGAAAATTCAGCGCTGAAAGAATCAGGTTTTAAGTAAGTGTATACACAGAAGGAGCAATCTAGCCTTGCACCTGTCCCATTCATGATCCAGTATCCATTTACAGAGGGTCGTGTGGCTGCCCAAGGGGTGAGTAGGTGGAGGCTGACTTTCTGGCCTTTGCCTGCTGCTTTCCTCTTACTTCTCTCCTCTGAGCCCAGGGTATTTAGGGAATCAGCCAATCAGAAGGTCTTAATGCCTCAACCAAAATGGTGTGCTTTTCATAACTTATATTTTTGTTGGAGATTGTCAAAGGCAATTAATTCTTAACTTAAAGGGATCACTCTCTAATGGGAAAATTTTAAGTCCTTTGTTCCTGGTGAGCTGGCAGCTTCAGGAATGCTACTTACTGTGGAGTCCATACAACTATCTTGCAGGTGGGATAAAAGCCAGCTCTTGGTATAGAAATACTGACTTGATCATAAACTCAACCATTTTCCTGATTATAACATGGAGAGAGAAAAAAAAAAACTTTAATTGAGAGGATTTTATTCTGAGCAGTTAAAAAATGTGGTCAGCTTTACCTAACTGAATATCCCAGGGCTTAGGGACATCTCGTAACAAGGAGGCCCAGCAGGCTCAGAGACAGAAAGTTCCCCTTGTGGCACAATATCCCTTATGGACCCCTGGGCGAGCACTCTCAGTTCCCTGCTGCCACACAGCTGGACAGAGATGGGGTTCAGTATTGTCAGAAGGGTTGAGATGAGGTACAGTGTCCTCAGCAGGCTCTGTTGCCACACAGACTTTGTGGCATAGGATGGAAGCACATATCACAGCTGCTGTGACATGATCAGAGTGGTGTGGCTCAGCACACACTACTGAAGCACCAATGTGAGTTCTCTCATACCTGGAGAAGTCTCACACTTCTGTATGAGGGAAGTAATTCTTTGCGAAACGTCCATGGATGCTTTATCTGTGCATTCACCGATATCCTGGTTTTAAAAAAGTACACAAGAGCATAAGTTAAAAAATGTTCTTAAGAAACTTTATACAAGTAGTGAAATAAATTTACTAATAAATTAACTTTACAATCTTTGCATGGAAAAAAAAAGTCTAGTTTTCAGAAGAATAAGAAAGTTATGTAATTGCATCAAAACTAATAATCAACACATATACATAGAAATATGAAATAAGATGTCAGGAAAATCTAATGTAGAAATAATAACCATATAAATGAATGGCAACATTTTCATTTAGAAAGGCAAAGACTTTCAGATAAGTTAAAAAAAATCAATTGTTTAACTTTAGGAAAAATATCTTGTAACAAACCATAGAAATGATCTGTGACAGGCTCCCCGGTGGCGGAGCAGTTGTGCACTGGGCTGCTGCAAAGCTGCCCACAGCCTCTGCAGTGCTGGTTTGATCCCCAGCAGCAGGGGAGGGTCCCACATGGTGTGCAGACCTCTCCTGCGGTCTTTGCTCCCCAGTATTGCACTTCGCTAGTCTGCCTGTTCTGTTCCCTGCTCTGGCTCTGGTGAATTCTCTCACCCTCCGCGCTTCTGACTGTACCCAGTGCTTGTAAATAAATAAACAAAAATAAAATCTTTTTTTTAAAAAAAGTCTCTTTTTGCTGTGCAGAAGCTTTTTACTTTGATGTAATCCCAGGTGTTTTTCTTTGCCTTCACCATCACTGCTTTGGGTGATGAGTCTTTAAAGATGTTTTTGAGATGTATGTCTTGTAGTGTTTTACCTATATTTTCTTCTATATATTTTATGGTTTCAGGACCAAAACAGAGAGACACCCCACTGATTGGGAAAAAATGTTTGCACTCCATCCAACTGATAAGGGACTGATCACAATGATATACGAGAACTCACATGGCTCAACAAAAACAAAATAAACAATCCAGTCAAGAAATGGGCAGAAGAACTTAAAAGACATTTCTCCAAAGAGGAAAAGCAAATGGCCAACAGGCATATGAATAAATGTTCAACATTCCTTATAATCAGGGAAATGCAAATCAAAACCACACTGAGATACCATCTTACACCAGTAAGAATGGCACATATCAAAAAAACAAGCAACAACAAATGTTGGTGAGGATGCGGTGAAAAAGGAACTCTCCTACATTGCTGGTGGGAGTGCAAACTGGTCCAACCATTGTGGAAAGCTGTCTGGAGGTTCCTCAGTCTACTAAAAATGGAGCTACCATACGATCCGGCAATTCCACTCCTAGGGATCTACCCAAAGGACACAAAAACAGCGATTCAAAAGAGCACCTGTATACCTATGTGCGGCAGTCTGCGCTACCCATGCTGTCTCTTGACAAGGTCAGGCATTGGGGGAGATCCTGAGAAGAGGGGAGTCCCTGTGCTCCCCAGAAGAGGGAAAATTGTACTTCCCAGAAGAAGGGAGTTCTTGCACTTCCCAAGATCTGAACTAGGGAGTCTCCATGGCAACGTGCTAATGCTCTCCTCTTTGTTCTTGGTTAATGCTCAAGTAAGTTAGTTATTAATTGGCTTGTGAAAACCCAATTCGGACCTAGACGTTAATTGATTTATTGTTCTTACACTTGAATCAGTATCAAAGAAAGTACAAACTGCTAAAGGTATAGTTAGGAAAGAAATGTTTTGGCCCTGAGAACTATGGAAACAAGCCGCCCTGAACCAGCTGTGCTTGGAAACCGTAGCCTAAACAGGGGGTATCATGTTGGGCAGCAGTACATTTCCCGGTGTATGCAAAAGGTCAATAGTTCACAGGCCATGTGGAGGTTAGGAATCTCTAGTTAAGAGCTAGACTTCAGTAGAACTAACATGGATTTGATGAGTTGCTTTAGGCCACTTTGAAGTAATTGAGTGCTGAGGAGATAGGTTTGATTTTTAGTAATAGAGAATAGAATAGAATTTTACGCCCACTAGGAAACTAGGAAAATTCAATAGAATGCTTAATCGTTGCAAATGTTGTGCTGTCTTATATAATTGATCATGTTAGAAAATTAGCTGTACCTAGGAAACTAATTGTTCCTGATGTTTTTTGAGGTAACCAAAGAAATGCCCTTTTGGTATGAGACCAAGGGAGTCTGCTACATGTTCATGAGAAAATATGCATTGATTGTCTTTGCTCTGCTTCAATGCTTATGCTGATGTAATCCCACTGCTTGCCTTAAGGTATAAATAAAGACCCACTGAGACCCTCAGCAGGAGATATTTGCACTAGAGAGAGTGTCAGTGTCTCCTTACTACCTCATTCCAATTCCCCTCAGCCCTCCAAAAATTTCAGAAAATTTCACGAAGCTGTCCTCTCCTTTCTGAGATCCCTGACACGACATCTACCTGGAGCTGGTCTCCAGCACCTATGTTTATTGCAGCACTATTTACAATAGGTAAAACCTGGAAACAACCCAAATGCCCAAAAATAGATGACTGGATCAAGAAGATGTTATATATATACACAATGGACTTTTATTCAGCAATCAAAAAGATAAACTCATGCCATTTGCAGCAATGTGGATGGAGCTAGAAGGAATCATGCTCAGTGAAATAAGCCAGAAGGAAAAAGAAAAATATCGGATGGTTTCACTTATAACAGGAATATAGGGGAACCAAATAAGACATCAGTGTAAAAAAAATTATAATAACAGTACAAAACACAACAAAGCAAAAACAGACAATTATAAACCAGAGACATCTTGCAAGGGAGGAGGAGGAGAGGGGTGAGAGGGAGGGAGGGAGGAGCACAGGGGACTGTGGTGAAGGTGCACAGGTGCCTTGGGGAAGGAAATTCTATGGGGACTCAATACTGAGGGGTGGGGAAACAAATATTGTATAAAAAAATGTAAAAAATGATAAATGTTAAAATAAAAAAAATGGGAAAAAAAAAAGGAAATGATCCGTGAAAGTTCCTTTTGGTACAAAATGGATGGATCTTGAGGTGATTGTGCAAAGTGTAATAAGTCAGAAAGTGAAAGATGGTTTCACTCACTTGCAGAATACAGATACAGAAAAAAAAATGAGAAGTATGGGCCTCCCCGTGCACAGTGGTTGAGCGCTGGGTTGCGAAGCTGCAGCAGCCTCTGCAGCGCCGGTTCGATCCCGGCTGCTCCCCACCACCGGAGAGGGTCCCACATGCGCGCAGACCTCTCCTGCCGCCCGCTGCTCCCCTCAGCAGTGTACTTCGGTCCTTCTGCCTGCTCTGCTCTCCGCTCTGCTCTGAGAATTCTCTCACCCTCCCGGCTTCTGACTGTATCCAGTGCATGTATAAACAAAAAAAAAAATGAATAAATAAATAAATAAAACATGCCTCTATTAAAAAAAATAGTTTAAAAAAAAATGATGAAGCACAACAACATTCTTAGGCTCTGTGAAAAATGTACTGGCTACTGGAGTGGGAATGGAGAAGCGATGGTTGAGGGACAGGAAGGGGATCAGACATGGGACTGGAGCCTTGTTGGCAGGTGAGTGAGGCATGTGCACCTAGGGACGTGTCAACTGGTACTCCCAAATTATAACTATGCAAACCATTTGTAAACCAATAAAATAAAAGCTATGATATTAAAAAAGAATATCTTAAAGAATAATATACTAGGATAAAGGAAACTTAAAGCAAATACAAACAAAAAAGGAGCAGAGTACTATTAATACTGGGAATAATAAAATTCAAGGTAGCAAAATTTCATGAAAGTAGTGAAAAGATTAATTTATTCTTTTAAAAGAGACAGTCCAGAAGTATGGAATCAAAATAAAGTAGAAACTATAAACTTTGTGAGTTTAAATGGATAAAAATAATTGCGTAGGAGATTTTATATATGCTATTAATGAAGGAAGGCCAATGATAAAAAATACGGTTATAAAAGAGTTGAATAACATAATAAACATTTATTTAAATGGTACTTTCATATAATATACAATTTATAATACTTTTATAGCTAGGACAAAATAATTTAATTCACCTTTACATTAGGTTACAAGAAAGATTGGTTTTGGAGATATAAATATCAGACCCATAAGTCGCATATAAATTTACTTTGAAGCTATGGCTGTGAACAAATGATGGCCTTGGAACAAAAATAGAGGACAGAGCTTTCATATGAAACCACTACGGGAGAAATGTCATCTCAAAATGTGTGTGGAAGGGAAGAATGCTGAGCTATCTGGTATTCTCTTGGGAAAAATCAGTTGGCTCCCTCAAACAAAATTAATTCCACATTAAATTTAAAACTATTTCTGAAAACTTTGACAAACAGAAAGAAACTAAAATAACTGCAGAACAAATGGTGGAAGAATTTAGAAGGAAAATATCAATAGATTTGGTGACTTATAAACAAAACTATTTGTGAGTCAGTAGTATTGTAATGTAAACTAAAGTGTAAATAACTGAGGACATACAATAAAGCACTGATACCTTTATAATATGAATGCTATTTTTCAATTATTCAGATTTAGCTCAGTTTACTTTATAATTGAATGACTATAATTTTTGTATACAGTTTTTGTTTACTTATAGCCATTTATTATGTCACAAAACTTAATTTTTTTGATTAATTAATCAACCATAAAACTTAATTTTTAATGGCAGGACCGTCTTCTATTGTATGGATATACTGTCATATACTTAGGCATTCCATAATGTTGAAGGAATTTATTTCCAATGTTTTCCTAAAAAATAACACTGAAATTAACATCTTGCAGTACAGATCTCTCTCTCTCTCTTTTT